AGAGTAGAGTAGAGTAGAGTAGAGTAGAGTAGAGTAGAGTAGAATAGAATAGGAGGCTGGGCACAGTGACTCATGCATGTAATCCCAGTACTTTGGGAGGCCGAGCAGGGTGGATCACTTAGGGTCAGGAGTTTAAGATCAGCCTGACCAAAGTGGTGAAACCCAGTCTCTACTAAAAATACAAAAAATTTAGCCATGTATGGTACTATGCACCTTTAATTCCAGTTACTCGGGAAGCTGAAGCAGAATAGCTTGAACCTGGGAGATTGCTCTACTGCACTCCAACCTGTTCGACAAAGCAAGACTCTTGCTCTAAAAAAAAAAAAAAAAAAAGAATCTGTAATTTTAACTAATGTTTTTTGAAGTCTTATTAGGATAAAGACTATGTTATAGTGATCTTTGAAACAAATTTTAAGTTTGATTTGATAAGATGCTTATAATATAATAAACAATAAATTTTAAGTCACAGGCCAGGTGCGGTGGCTCGTGCCTGTAATCCCAACACTCTGGGAGGCCGAGGTGGGCGGATCATCTGAGGTTGGGAGTTCAAGACCAGCCTGATCAACGTGGAGAAACCCCATCCTACTAAATATACAAAATTAGATGTGGTGGCGCATGCATGTAATCGCAGCTACTCAGGAGGCTGAGGCAGGAGAATCGCTTGAACCCAGGAGGTGGAGTTTGCAGTGAGCGGAGATTACAACATTGCACTCCAGCCTGGGCAAGAAGAACGAAACTCTGTCTCCAAAAAAAAAAAAAAAAAAAAAAAAGGCACAAAATCAGATTCTTGGCAGGACATGTCAGACAGCATTGTATAAGTTGTGAAGATGTAAATATCTATCTAGATTATTTTGAAAACCAAAAAAATTAATAAATTATTTACCTCTGTAGTTTTCTGAGGTGAATTTATTCTGAAGAAATATACTAAGACGTGAGTTAACTTTAATGGACCTCTTTTTGAAATTACTCAAAGCTATTTTATAACATATTATTTAGAAATTGTAATATTTATAAAACTTGTATTTTAAATTCTATTTGTATCTTTAGTTTTGCTTTGTTACTCCATCTCTAAATTATGAGTAATTATGTTTTTCTTTTGTTAATGATTTGTAGCCCTCTCTAATACACTTAAGAGTTGTTTGATTTTAGAATATGTTTTCTGCAGGCAAAACGAGTAGATTTTCATGTTTAATACACTTGTAAATCTCAACAATAATATCTGTTTCATTACTTCATTGTGATACTAGTTTTGCTTTATGGGTTCTCTTTGCATACTGTTATTTAATTAAACATCTGGTGGTGACACAAGGAGCCAAGTGTAAGATCTTATCACCTAAATGAGAGCTTTGTTCCTTATAGTAATAATTAACCAAAAAACATGTGTTTTTAAAATTAACTGTAAGGATGTAACAATTTATGAATGCAATCATTTTACAAGTTAGTCAACTTTAAAACTAAGTACTTAGGCCGGGCGCAGTGGCTCACGCCTATAATCCCAGCACTTTGGGAGGCTGAGGTGGGCGGATCACGAGGTCAGGAGATCGAGACCATCCTGGCTATCATGGTGAAACCCTGTCTCTACTAAAAATACGAAAAAATTAGCTGGGCATGGTGGCAGGTGCCTGTAGTCCTAGCTACTCGGGAGGCTGAGGCAGGAGAATGGTGTGAACCCAGAAGGTGGAGCTTGCAGTGAGCCGAGATAGTGCCACTGCACTCCAGCCTGGGCAACAGAGCAAGACTCTGTCTCAAAAAAAACAAAAAAACTTAATAATCAAACTTTTTCTCAAAATTATAGAATCTCAGAGGTAGACAGTATGTTAGATACCATCTTATTCAAACTTTCTATTCACAGAAAAAAAAAGTCATAAAGTTAGGTAGCTTGTCCAAACCTATAAAGATTCTCTGACCCGAATACTGTGGCAGTTAGATGCAACAGCAGGGTTAATAGTTTGCCTTTTTTTTTTTTTTAACCACCTCATCTCAAATAGTTGAGCCTACTAATACTACAGAATTTACGCATGATGAAGCTGGGGAGCAAGTGCTTCAGAAAGATAGCTTCAGTAGCTCCTGCTTCAGCCTAAAGTTCTGTAGCACATGAATTGCAAAATAATTCCATTTATAAAATGAAATTTCAATGTGTAATGCTGGGCTCAGGTGTTATCTCTGTAAATGGCACATGAAGTTACCTCCATAGTTATGATTCATTATTGTTTCCCTCCCTGTTGATTACCTGTATTCTAGCCACTGGTGACATGTGGCTGTTGAACACTTAAAACGTGGCTGGTATGAATTGAGATGTGCTATAAGTGTTAAATACACGTTGGTTTTCATGTCCATATCCAGCTCTGAACCTCTGTACAGTTTTGTTTTACTGGGGGTTTGGGGTTGCTATGCATATCTCTTACCAACCAGACAAACCTTTGGGGCCCATCTTGAGCCCTGCTCTTCCATTAAAATGTTTGGGTCTAAATTCATCTTTTTTTGTTTATATCTCATTATTCCCTTTCTCCCTTTTTAAGCTTACATAGGTTCTTAATGATAGTCTATCATGTTTTGTTACCTAATAGGGGCATGCATTTATGCCTGCCTCTAGAACAATAGTTAAATAAATTGCTACTAGAAATGAAGTTGCACCTAGCAATGTATTTTCAGTCTCCAAACATTTAGCAGAGGGAGGGCACATATCTGGATATTAATAAATACATGTTGAATTGAGTTTCTGAATATATATTTGTCATTTTAAAAACCCTTGTATTTCAATATGTTATAGTTTTCAAAGCACTTTCACATATGGAGCTTTATTTAATCTTCCTAGCAGTTTTATTAGATAGACAAGGCAATTATTCTTTTCATTGTTAGATGATAAAGTAGGGACTTAAAAAGACAATATAAAAACTGGTGACACTTTTGTTTCCTGTGTAATGTGATTTCCTCTCTTTTGGTTGAAAACATTTTCTAACTATCATGGAAGAGTAGGTCCTGATTTCTTTTAAGCTCATCCGAAGTTATTTTGAATCCTTTATTTATAATCACAATTTTCTTGGATCTCATCCACTGGGCTATAGGTACACACCAGGGTCTTTGGGGCAAGTTGTTGTGAAAACTCCTTATAGGTATATACCAAGCAATAAGTGATTGTTCTTTAGTATATGGTTTTCAAATAAATTTTATCTCATGTCAACTCCATTTGATTAGGAGTGCATGTGTGGGATCCTTTGTGTAGAAAGTTGTGAAACACTGTTTAGTTTTAACAAGGAAGTGTTTAGTTTCATCAAAAGTATCAGAATGAGGGGAATAGGGGTAATTAAATGCTATATTATTTAATAGAGTAGGTCAGTTTTTATTTCTGGTCAATATCTTTTTTATGAACATTCCTAATATGAAAATATCCTGTCTTAGTCTGAGTAGAAAGGGAAGGAAAATGAGACCTCTGGATGTCATAGTCCTTTTCTCATCAGAAGAGACCATCTCTCTCCCTCAATTTGCTTTTTCCATCTTCAGCTTCAACAATACAGCTATGTTCAATTGTCCTTTCAACTAATGTTGGTGGTTTTGCAGCAGTTTTTGTACTTAGGTTTAACTGTTTATTCAGAATTTGCCATGTTAAAGCTAAACAGGAAATTAAATCACAGATATAAAATGATATCTTTATTAAATATAACCTCGTTGGGTTTATGTAAGAGGTAAACACAAGCTCAAGCCTAAAATACAGTGAGCAGTCATATATACATTATTGATATATAATTAAGTTAATTATTCTTTAATTTAACAAATATTTACTGAGTGCTGGTATGTGTCAGGCATTGGTGCTGATTACTAGGAATATAACAGTGAAGATGACGTTCAAAATCCTGCTCCCACATTTTAGTGGGAAAGTTAGTAAATGTTTTAGAATTTTCTCTTTCCTTTATTTGGTCAACTGTTTTTTGTATTTGAAAGAAATAATTTGAAAAACTCATTAGTAAATGACAGCGAGCCACATTGTTAGGATGTCTCTACTAAAAGTTCTTGTTAGGAAGAACTTTCCCTTGTCACACTTATTGAAGTAGGGGCCGGATGTGGTGGCTCATGCGTTTAATCTCAGCACTTTGAGAAGCTGAAGCAGTAGGATCGCAGGAGCCCAGCAGTTCAAGACCAGCCTGGGCAATAAAGTGATACCCCATCTTTACAAAAAAAAAAAAAAAAAAAAAAAAAAAAAAAAATTAGCTGAGTGTGGTGGCATGAACCTGTAGTCCCAGCTACTTGGGAGACTTAGGTAGGAGGATCGCTTGAGTCCAGGAGTTGGAGGCTGCAATGAGCCATGATTGTGCCACTGCAGTCCAGCCTGCATACCACAGTGAGACTCTGTCTCCAAAAAAAAAAAAAAAAAAAAAGTAGTTCATAAATAATTTTATGAACACTGAAAAGGCATTTTGAACAATAAATTCATGAATTTCCTAATTAATCTTTCCTTCTATAGATACTAGTTCTGGTTTTGTATGTATAAATAACAAATAAAATTTGGTGAATACAGAGTTAAAGAGTTTAGAAGTATATGGAATTCATTAAAAAGTCGTTTTAGGGCTGGGCACGGTGGCTCACACCTGTAATCCCAGCACTTTGGGAGGCTGAGGCGGGTGGATCATCTGAGGTCAGGAGTTCAAGACCAGCCTGATCAACATGGTGAAACCCTGTCTCTACTAAAAATACAAAGAATTAGCCACATGTGGTGGCACATGCCTGTAATCCCAGCTATTTGGGAGGCTGAAGCAAGAGAATCACTTGAACCCATGAGGTGGAGTTTGAAGTGAGCTGAGATTGCACCATTGCACTCCAACCTGGGCAACAAGAGTGAAACTCCATCTCAAAAGAAGGAAAAAAATAAAAAGTCCCTTTAGAAGAGATGTTTCTTTTGGTTTGGACTGCATTGATATTTCTTTTGCAGGTTCATTGTATATCTATATTTTACAATTGTGATTTAAATTGTTTTCTAAATGAAGTTCAAATTCTTCATCTTTCAGATCTTGACAGAGCAAGTATGTACTCAGGTCGTACACAAACCACATCCAGAGCCAGATTCTACAGTGAAAATTCAGAATCCAAGTGAGCAAATGGCAGTTCTTTATTGTATTGGGGTCGGCGCATGGCAACATATGAGACTAAATCAAAACTTTTCCTAACCCCTTAAATCATTATGGTGTTTACCGAGTTCATGACAGTTTTAACTCACCTTTTATAGTGCTAAGTATTTATTTGAAAGTCACTAATACGTTTTGAGTTGAGCATAGGATATGGTTATAAATCTTTAAGTTTTTTTCTTTGTTTACAGTGATTCTTAAAGTGGTGGCAACTTTGTTAAAAAACTCTACACCAAGCGCAGAGCTGATGGAAGTTCGTCGTTTATTTTTATCTGATATGATAAAACTTTTCAGTAACAGCCGTGAAAATAGAAGGTAAGCAGTTTGGATACTATAACACTTTATTCCATAATTAATATTTTCTCTCTTTTAGAATTTCAATTCATTCCAAATCTTTTCCATATTGCTAAATACTTTTAATCATCAGAAAAGGCATATTATGTTTCTTTGACGTATTCAGTATACTTCTATTTATTTTTATATTATTTTTATTTTGTTATATGGATATTATATTTTAATTGTATATATGAATATACATATAAACAAACTCTTATTTAAAATGTAACATCCCTTTTAGTGGTACCTATCTATCACCAATAGAACTTTCAGTTGTAATTGTGTTGGATTTTCTCATTTTCGTCTATGCTTTCCACCCCATTTTTCTTATGGCTGATTGTTGTTCATTTTTAAGCGAGTTAGCTAGAACATGGGGTAGAGTCTGAGGCCATGAACTCTGGAGTAGTCATTGCCTGAGTCTATAATTTAACAAATATTGACTGAGTGCCTATTGTGTTCGGTGTAAGACCCAGTGCTACACAAGATAGTCTTAGTACACAGTCTCGGTACATTCCAGTGGGAAAAAAACCATAAAGCAATGATTAATACATAATGTGTTAAATACATTGTGAGTGCTAAAGGTGGTAAGAAAGTAGAGAAGCAATAAGTAAATCTGACTGTGAAAGTTAGGAAAGTGATTTTGAATGACAATTAGGATTTTTCCTGGTAGAGAAATAAGAGAAAGTCATTCCAATTACAGAATCTATAATGTGCAGCATGACTGTACACCTTACTTTACTGAGGTCAGATCATATTTTCACTATTTTATTTATCAAAGTTTCAAAATAGTAAATTCTAACTTAATTTGGATATTTTTAATGAGATCAATTTTTTTTTTTTTTCCTCACAAGATGCTTATTGCAGTGTTCAGTGTGGCAGGATTGGATGTTTTCTCTTGGCTATATCAATCCTAAAAATTCTGAGGAACAGAAGATTACTGAAATGGTCTACAATATCTTCCGGATTCTTTTGTATCATGCAATAAAATACGAATGGGGAGGCTGGAGAGTCTGGGTGGATACGCTGTCAATAGCCCATTCCAAGGTAACACGGGATTTAACATTTTAATATCAGAGTTATTGTGGTGGATTAAACGGCTACAGATATGCATCTGGTGCCATCTTGTGGGCATCTGAGATTTTGACAGATTCCTGTATCTCAGTTTTGTATTTTTTTCCTCACTGTTCATAGACTGTTAGAACTTGAAAGTGGCTTATAGATGAATTAATTCAAACCCCAAATTTATAAATTAGGAGTTTTATACCCAAAGATGACCTACATCTGTTTTATAGCAAATCTGAGAACTTTAATCTGAGCCACTTGCTCTTTTAACTGGTTCTTGGAAGACTATTTCATGAAATAGTCTCTGAAATATACTTTTTAAGACTTTTTTTAAGAAGTCAAATTTTTTTATTTCCAAGTGAATCATAAATACATTTAAAGTGTTTAAGTTTAGTGGTATTTTAATTGCATTATCTTTTCTTTATTTTTAATCTTAAAAATCTGTATGTCTGTATTTTAAGTATTATTTGATTTTTGGTAAAATGAAATAGTGAATTAAAGTGTACAGGTATATACACATTAGATTCTGGAAATTCAGAGTTAGGATATCTCATCATGAAGTGTTATAGAAGAAGCATGGGTGTCAGAAGTATGGCTTTTAATTTAGTCTGTGCCATAATTGAGTTTTGTGATTTTAGAAGACTCATTTAGTCTTCTTGAACACGAGTTAGAAAAAACTGTTTAATAAGATAGATAGTAAACATTATAGACTGTGTGGGTTATATAGCCTCTGATATAACTACTCAACTCTGCTGTTCAGTGTGAAAGACAATACATAATGTAAATGGTTATCATGGTTTTGAATAAACCTTTATTCACCAAAAGAGATGATAAGCAGATTTGTCCCGTGGGCCATGTGTTACCAACCCCCACTTTTGGGACTTGCATTCTTCTTCTGTAAAATTAAGGAGATTTTTGTATTATGAGATATTCTTTAAAGGATGGTTCCCGCAATGTAAAATTCTGTTAACTTATTTAAATATACATTAATAGCACCTATGTCTATAAGAGAAAGACTATGAACTTTAAAAAATATTAGAAAAGCTTTTGTTTCTATTATAAATTTACATTTTGTAATATAGTGATGCCTCAGATTTATCATTGCTTTAACAAATTTGAAAATAGGAAAGAAAAAGACATTGCAGGTCTTTGTACAAAAAAAAGATTCTGATTATTAATAAAGAAGCCTAAGTAACAAATTCAGAGCAGCTTATATAAGGATAAAACTGTCATGTTTTAACAGCTTGTAAATTTATATATTTAATGATATGTGTGAATTTTTTAACTTCAGTTGTTGGGACAGGTACGCATATGAGCAGTAGATGGTGAAAACCGACATAGTAATAGTACTTTGGATATTGTATATTATTAGCTGTTTATTCTCTGTTTAAGCTTACATAAATATGTGGAAGTTAACTGGCATATTAGGTTTGGGTAACATTGAAATATTCAGCCTAAAAGAAAATAACTTTTAATATTGCTGAGTTATCTGTGTGACTTTGGCAGTCCTTATAATAAATCATATATAGCTGTATTTGTTGATTATTTCCAGTTCCTTAATGAAACTAAGCACTTGCTTTAGGATTAACAAGTGCTAGCTTTGAAGTCTTAAAATTTCTGACATGGTTTTTTGTATTTCCACAGTGTAATGTGTATTATTTATTTTTTTCTTTTTGATATGTACAAAATGCCTTAATGTTTGCTTTACTTATTCCTAAGGTCACTTACGAAGCTCATAAGGAATACCTAGCCAAAATGTATGAAGAATATCAAAGACAAGAAGAGGAAAACATTAAAAAAGGAAAGAAAGGGAATGTGAGCACCATCTCTGGTCTTTCATCACAGACAACGGGAGCAAAAGGTGGAATGGAAATTCGAGAGATAGAAGATCTTTCACAAAGCCAGAGCCCAGAAAGTGAGACCGATTACCCTGTCAGCACAGATACTCGAGACTTACTCATGTCAACGAAAGTGTCAGATGATATTCTTGGAAATTCAGATAGACCAGGAAGTGGTGTACATGTGGAAGTACATGATCTTTTAGTAGATATAAAAGCAGAGAAAGTGGAAGCAACAGAAGTAAAGCTCGATGATATGGATTTATCACCAGAGACTTTAGTAGGTGGAGAGAATGGTGCCCTTGTGGAGGTTGAATCTCTGTTGGATAATGTATATAGTGCTGCTGTTGAGAAACTCCAGAACAATGTACATGGAAGTGTTGGTATCATTAAAAAAAATGAAGAAAAGGATAATGGTCCGTTGATAACATTAGCAGATGAGAAAGAAGACCTTCCCAATAGTAGTACATCATTTCTCTTTGATAAAATACCCAAACAGGAAGAAAAACTACTTCCTGAACTTTCTAGCAATCACATTATTCCAAATATTCAGGACACACAAGTACATCTTGGTGTTAGTGATGATCTTGGATTGCTTGCTCACATGACCGGTAGTGTAGACTTAACTTGTACATCTAGTATAATAGAAGAAAAAGAGTTCAAAATCCACACAACTTCAGATGGAATGAGCAGTATTTCTGAAAGAGACTTAGCGTCATCAGCTAAGGGGCTGGAGTATGCTGAAATGACTGCTACAACTCTGGAAACTGAGTCTTCTAGTAGCAAAATTGTACCAAATATTGATGCAGGAAGTATAATTTCAGATACTGAAAGGTCTGACGATGGCAAAGAATCAGGAAAAGAAATCCGAAAAATCCAAACAACTACTACGACACAAGTAAGCTACCTTATATGAGTTCTAGAAATAAAAAAAATGCTTGAATAGATAGAGTTGTTAGCACCAAAACAGAGTACTTTCTTATCAGTTACTTCCTGTTTATATTGAATTATAGCATAATAGTAATTTATGGAATGAAATAGTGTGGTATAATTTCATGTATATAAGAAATTAAAAATATCTCAAGTATATTTCCAACTCTGCCACATTCTTCTGTGTAACTTTGCTCAACCTCTCTGGGCCTAAGTTTCCTTATATAGTACAAGAGGTTGTACTAAAGGATGACTAAGGTCTCTACCAGTTCTAACATTTTAAACTCTGTGACCACATTTACACATTTTGTACTCAAGATCTTCCTCCTGAATACTTGATTAATTTTAACCTTTTAAGCTTCAGGCCCAACCCTGTTCTGTGGATTATAGAAAAGAGGACTTGGAGCCCAGATTGAACTGATAAATGAAGGGGAAGGGAAAAGGGAACTGTTATTTATCCAGTGCCTACTATGTTCCAGGCACTGTGCTATATGTTTTCAGATTTAATCCTCACAACAACCCTGTGAGGTAGGTAATATGGCTGAGAAAAATTAGAATTATTAGCAGTGAGAATTTTCTGTACAACCACATGAATAGGAATTTGTTATAAGACAATTAAAGACTCTTAGATCTGGTTGTTAGGAAATGTTAGTGCTTCAGTTTTGACCTCACTGGAATAAAGCTAAAAACAGATGATGTTTTCTGATACGGATTTTAATTGTTGAGCTTTGAGTTATGACTACTTCTTTATTTTCTAGGATAAATAATACCTTATGGTTAAGAGTTTAAGAAATAAGAATACTTTTCTCATTAATGACTTGGGTTTTTTATCCTCTGGGTGTCCCACTTGCCTTTTAATGTCATTGAAGATACATTGAATGTGTTTCCATTAGGGCTATACTATGAGGAGTAAACCATGCCTGTCTTGTGTCTTTGTACTCCAGTAAGAATCCTTAATAATATATCATGTGTGTGGGGAAAGTATTTTTATTTTTTCTGTAACTGCCAATTTCCATTTTTTGTGGCAGTTGCATTGTAGTGATAATTGGCAGGAGATGAGAATACTGAATTAGATACAGATGTAAAATAAAGGAAAACATCATGCATTGTTGATTGAACAATAGGCTTGCCTGTTGAACACGAGGCTTGCCTGTTTTACATTTGGAGTTTATAGACATTTTTCTGGTTTGTTTTCTAACTTACCAAATGCATTTGTGTTTTTGAATTGAAGTATTATACGTGAAACAGATTTTAAAGTTGAATATTACTTGAAACTGTTCAAGTAATATTTTTTCTAATCGTGTGCTTTAGTTACAATTAGTTGATGACATATATCCAGTATACTTCACTTTGTATATGCTCACTTCAGTAAGGAAGTGATGTGGTCTAATTTAAAGACTCTTAATGGGGTCAAGAGGGTCTGGTTTTCAGTGTGAACTTTGGTGTTAGCTTTAGGTATTTGATTATCTTGCCTAGTTTCTGCAATAGTAAAGTAAAAGCAATAGTGGAGACTTCAGCCCAGAAAGTTTCCTGTGCAAGGAATTACCAGGTGAATAATATATGTGAAATATATTAAACTGCTAAAGTCATATGCTAAAGCATTAAAGCATTGTTCACTTTACTATACTCACAGTTTCATTTTGAAATAAGGCATTTCTTTTGTATTCCACAAAAGTTCACCTTTTCCTTCTTTAGGCTGTGCAGGGTCGGTCTATCACCCAACAAGACCGAGATCTCCGAGTTGATTTAGGATTTCGAGGAATGCCAATGACTGAAGAACAGCGGCGCCAGTTTAGCCCAGGTCCACGGACTACAATGTTTCGTATTCCTGAGTTTAAATGGTCTCCAATGCACCAGCGGCTTCTCACTGATTTGCTATTTGCATTAGAAACTGATGTACATGTCTGGAGGAGGTAGAAATATTTCTTTTTTATAAATTAAAAGCAAATATTTAAAATCTGCCATTTCCTGTTCTATTTTAAAGAGACTTGACAAAACCAAAAATCTACTTTGATTAAAGGAATTTCCACATTTTTCTTGTTTCCTGTTTAAATTAATAGCATGTACTAAATTTATTAGTGATAATATTATAATACATACTGTTTAAAGTTTAAAATCACCCTGTGACATGTGAATTCAGAGCCCGTAGTATTTGAGCAGTTAGTGGATATCAGTTCAAAGATAATAACTTAAAGACAACAAATCTACATAAATTAAACCATTGCCTTTCTAAATTTTCAATTTAATTTTTTAATAGTAAATGTGCAACAGATTAATTATGACAGCATATCATTTACATAGGCATGAATACAATTAGGAAGTTGATGGATATAAGTAACAAGGGCAACTTAAATGATCTAGCACAACATTCTTAGGAATGTCGGCTTCTATGCTTCTCGTTTTCCTTTTAGGATTCAAGGTGGCTGCTTCACCTCCCAACATCAATTCATCATGAGAAACTTGCCCAAATTAAAAGGCAGAGATGACTCTTCTTCCTTCCTCTTCCTATTTTTCCTCTGCCTCCTCTTCTCTCTCCTCTTTCACTTTCTCTTTTTATTCTCCTCTTTTCTTCTCTTTTTTTAAAAGAAGCCCCTGATGAAAAATCCCCCTTATGTCTCATGAGACAGCAGGATCACATCCTCTTTCAAAATTAATCATCAGAAAAAGCAAATGAGATTATAATGACTGGTTTTTAGGGACTAATACTGGTTAATTAACTAGAAACTAGGGTGAGGCTAGTCTTTCCTATACCCAATCAAGCTCAATAATAGAACAAAATGTAAAATATGTGTCAGCAGGGAAAAAGTTACGACTGTTGCGGAAGACGTCAATAAAGTCTGCCATAGAAAGATTTTGATTTTGATTTTATTTGATCAATTTGTTCTTATACTAATATATTTTCATTGCTAATTATTATATGATAAATTACCTAGAGATGGTAACTAAGGAAACCTAAATACCATGAAATATATTACTATTAACATGAAGACCAATGTATGGAGATAAATTATGTAATTTAATAATTATAATATCAGTAGCCTCCAAGTGAGTGATACTCAGCTTTTTTTCCATCCACCCCTACTCTGTGTTTTTGTTTTCTTTGATGGGCTCTCATGAAATTACCCAAGTAGAATTTAATGACATTTAAATTTTTTAAAGGTAGCACTTTATTTTTAGGAGGGGGAGAAACATCTTGAAATTTAAGATACACAGTGATAGATAATAATTCACAACTCTAAAAGGGTGAGAATTATTGACTTAATTTTGACCATGGAGTAATTTCTCTTTTTTAATCTTATTTTTTTTCCCATTAAAAAACAGTTCAGGCCAGGTGTGGTAGCTCACGCCTATATCCCAGCACTTTGGGAAACCAAGGCGGGAGGATAACTGGAGCTCAGGAGTTCGAGACCAGGGCAAGATCCTGTTTCTACAAACATTAGCTAGGCGTGGTGGTGTCCACCTGTAGTCCCAGCTACTCGGAAATCTCCTGGGCCCAAGGAGGTTGAGGCTGCAGTGAGCCATGATCCCACCACTGCACTCTAGCCTGGGCGACAGCAGAGATCCTGTCTCAAAAAGAAAAAAAAATTATATTCTTGACTGACACCAAACGAAAGCAGTGTATTTTTTTGACATCTACATTGTATGTTTTGTATGGGAATGCTGTACTACCAACTTAGTTTGAGATTTTGTTGCTTTTCTTATTAAATAAGTTCTTGAATTTGTACTGATTTATTTATATTCCCCTATCATGTCACTTCTTTAACAAGTACACCTTTTCAATATGACTAGTCAAAGGTGGGGCTGAAGTCACTGGTGATGTGACAAATTGAAACCGCCTACAAAGTAAAACTTTCAGTTAAATTTTTAGGTTTTCAGTTTCAGATTTTATTTATAGGTATGAAAATTTTGAATTGGTTATATTCTGAGTTTCCATATTATTTTTAACATTAGACATACTTTTTATATTTAAAAGATTCTGCCTTTCAACAAAAAAAAATCAGATTTGGCAACATAAATATTTTTAGCCAAATTTATTGAGTCAGTCATATGTCTTAGAATCTAATTCTATGTTTTTCAAGCAAAATAGTAATAATAATAATGAGTTAATATTCTTGGACACAACAAAATTCTGTGGAGATGAATGCTTAGTTTTTGGTAATATGATATCTCAGTTATAAATCGCTTTATTTTATAATAATTTAATTTTAAATATGGCTAGCTCCTACAATTCTATAATTTTTCACTTGTTATTCTAAGTAAATTGTCTAAGCTTTTCATTTAAGTAAGCCAAATACATACTCGTTTCTGTTTTCTGTATTTTAGCCATTCCACAAAGTCTGTAATGGATTTTGTCAATAGCAATGAAAATATTATTTTTGTACATAACACAATTCACCTCATTTCCCAAATGGTAGACAACATCATCATTGCTTGTGGAGGAATTTTACCTTTGCTCTCTGCTGCTACATCACCAACTGTAAGTACTTTGCCTCCATCTAGTGGTTATATTTTATAATTACATGACTTGAGCATTTCAGTGGTGGTCTAAGCTGTAAACAGATTTTAAACGGACCTGTAATTTTTAGGGAACTTTTTGACCATATAAATTTCTGTTTCCACCACTTCTGTTTATCAGTGTTGGGTTCCAGCTATGTGTGCTTATGAAAATATTTCTCTGGTAATTCTGATGAATAAATGCTTCATCAGAAGAATATTGCATTCTTCATCAGAGATATTACATATCTCTTCAATTCTATAGTATAAATAAACTCTTAAAATTCTTGTTATTTAACATTTTCATTTATTTACTGATGCAACATTTGTTTTACAAAATCTAGCCTTATCTTGATTTGTTTCTATATTAAACAGTGAAATGTGTTAATACATTTTAAAGACATTTAATGTTAATTGTGTATGTCTTTTAAAATATAATAGGTCAATGTTAACTTTATATTTTGGTTGTCATTAAAAACAAAATATTTGATTCATATCAAGGCAGACTCCATAGCTACTTGCTCAATGGGAAAGAATATAGAAATTTGCTTCCCATATTACCCGTGTTCTTGTTGCCGTATGGAAACTCATCCTTAAGCTCAGAAAGTTTGCTTTGCCAGAGGGAAATCTTTCATTTTACTAAGATGTCTATTAGTTGGTGAGACACTGTTTCCAGGTTGATCTCTAAGTTTATTTCATCATTAACAAGTTTTTCTATATGACTCTTTTTCTTACTGTCCTTTTGTCAATGCCACCACCATCACCAGAGCAGCAGTGAAACTTCAACATTAGCAGCCACAGGCTATATCCTCACACACTTTCCCCAGTTGTTACTCTTCTATTTTATTCATGATTTTGCTCAAGAAGTCCACAAAGGGAAGCATTCCAGTTCAGAAGGAGGAATGCAACAGAGCGAGTCACCAGTAGGGTCTTAATCAAATTAGCAGCTGAACCAAGGAAATGGAGCTAGAAAGAACAGTATAAATGGTTGATGGTGTGTGAAGAGTGCAGATATACATACACCACTCCTTTTCTTTCATCTCTCTTTTCCTCTGGTGATTTATACCAAATTCTGGTAAGTTGAGAGTTATGTATGATTTTTAAAATGCTTTCTAATAGTGAGACATAGAGGGCATTTTCTTTCTTCTGTTTTCCTTTTTTTTTTTTTTTTAAATCAGAGTATCATTCTGTGACCCAGGCTGCAGTACAGTAGGGCGATCTCAGCTCATTGCAACATCCGCCTCCTGGGTTCAAGTAATTCTGCTGCCTCAGCCTCCCAAGTAGCTGGGATTACAGGTGTACACCACCACACCCAGCTAATTTTTGTATTTTTAGTAGAGATGGGGTTTCACCATGTTGGCCAGGCTGGTTCAAACTCCTGACCTCAAATGATCTGCCTGTCTCAACCTCCGAAAGTGCAGGGATTACAGGCATGAGCCACCCCTCCCGGCCAACTTTTTTTTGTTTTATATATTGAAGACCGAATAAATCAATACTTTCTTTGTGACATTTTTCTTGATTATATAAATTGCATTTTATGTCTTATAAATTATCATTTGTTATGAAGAAATTTTTTAAAGGTTGTATTGAAATTCACTTTGAAATGTAATATTGAATGTTTTTAAATTTTGCATGGAACAAAAAATGCTTTTTATATAAAAAAAGTTTAGCAATAGGTTATTAAAATTTGTATAGGTTTAAAATATTCACATTATTAAATAGTTTTCCAAATTTTAAAGTCAAAAGATGTTTAGCTATTAAGATAGAATATTCAAATAATGAAGTAAACTATAGCATATATACTATTGCACCAGTCAAATTTGCTTATTTATTTTGTGGTGATTGTACAATAAAGATACTGACGCTTTGAGGTTGGCTTCCAAAATTATTACAATTCAATTTTGACCACTATAGTTTGGAATTTAAAATTATTTATTATCTAGACTTTCTCAACAGACTTGGGAATTCGTTCAATTATAGAAACCTTTGTTTATTTTCTCAATTTCTGTATTTCTGTTATTTTTGGCCCATTAACTGTTTGGACCTATGCCTGGTTGTACAACATACCTGATTTTATGTCTTCTGAATGAATTGCTTCCTTAAGAGAAATAACCAAACCTTCTCCCATTTTGTATCTGGTAGAACTATGATTGGTGCTGACTGCTGAATGTTGTTTCTGTATTACGGGGTTGTATAATATTCTTGCTAGAAGTTGTAACATAGCAGAGGGAAAAAGTTAGGAAAGGAAAGGTTGAATAAAGACGGAAATTAAACCTGAATATTTGGGCTTGTTATATTTAAATTAAAAGTGTAAAAAGCCAAAAGAGAATTTTGGAAGGGATAAGCAAAAAAAGGAAACATTGGTAACATGAAGATTACTGAAAGGTAACATTGTCTTGTAGGTGCTTTTAGAATTTTAATGCTAGATATATGAAGAGAGATGGAGACATTTGAAACTAAGGTTTGAGTGATCTGGTAATTTTGTTTATACATATAGTTTTTCAGAATATTCTTATTATGTGCATTTTATGAAGAAATAGGAATAGTAATGGTTTATGGCAGTAGTTCGCAAACCTTTTTTGTATGGGGCCAGATAGGAAATATTTTAGGTTTCATTGGCAGTATTGTCATCTGTCACAGCTAGTCAACTCTGCTGTGATAGTACAAAAGCAGCAATAGACAATACATAAACAAATATTTTTTGTCTGCTATTTCTATGAGAGTGACATAGAAGTGTTCTCTTTTCTGCCCTGGAAATGTTGATGAGTACAGTAATTTATACTAGAGATAACATTTTTGTATTGCTATTATAGTATCATCGTCATGGAAGAAAAGTTTGAACTGTTTAATCTTAGTTGGAAGGAACATATCTTAATGGAAACTTAAGAAAAAAAGAATATATATTGTTTATAATGATAGGTTGAGCACCTTGAACTTAGTACTCTTGAAGAAGCAGCACTTTATGGGAGTTTCAGTTTTGCCTAGCTTACTTAATTTCATATGTAGCATAGAAAATACATTACAAAAATAGTTTCAGAACTCTGAGTTAGACCAATAGTTTTAACTGTAGTACTCAGAGAAAAAAAAAAAAAGACCTCTTAGTATGTAATTTGGCCAATCTTTGCTTTGGGAAAACAGCAATATTTTTGTTGTTGATTTTTTTAGTTAATGTTTCTATGACTAGTTAATTGAATCCTCTCATTTGTTCTCTAATATATTGTTTAAGTTGGTCATGAATGAAAGCAAAAAATTGGAGAAGAAAAAGAAAAGCAAAGAACATGGATCAACCACAAATTGCACACTTTGTGATTTTAAGTTGACCACTTTGGTCAACCATCCTGAACACTGAATATTATGGAACTTAATTCAGGGCTTAATTTTCTCTGTCCCAGAAAAATAGTAGAGACTGACATTTCCAGCACTCCTAACAGTTTCATAATTATAAGAGAGAAGAACTGCTTTTTCTATTTTGTCCAAAAATAACAAAGTCTTACTTTAGTTTACTTATTTTTATTATCAGGATATATCATAAATATATTCGGAAAAATTATGAATAATGTTGTTGGTTTTGCTCTTCTTTTGTTTATCTCATAGAACTGATCATACTTTACTATTCTCAGGATGCTTTTATGTGTTTTCCTATACAAAGTACCATGAAAATAGCATATTTTAAAATTTATACTCACATGTGCTTGTCAAAAATTAGTAAGAATAGTTGATTTTTATTGTGAAGCCTAATTCTATCTGATATTTGAATATAATGAATGTAATTATTAATAAGAATCTGAAACTTAGTATAATACCTATTTAATTACCTTTATTCATATTCAGGCATCGTTTAGTATATCAAGTTATTTTCTAGCATGGGAAAGTGGTTTATAAGTTATAATCTCTCAAATATTTTATTCTTTTATTAACTTCTGGGAATTTTCAACTATAGGAAGGGTTCTGTATATTTGAGAAAACAAATTACATTATTTCCTTATAGAAAATTCTAGAGGTTGGTATAAATAGTTCATTTCCCTGAGTCATTTCTGCCTAAACCAGAATTGAGGTAGGGATTTTACAGAGGCATTATATTAGCTTATTTATTAAAATGTTCTATTAATTATAGGAAAAGATACTTGCTTTGTAAAATAGAGTATGCATTATTTCTAATATATGAACTATACTTATATATATATTATTTGGGCAGAGTTACTACAATAAAAAATAAATTGAAGTCTAAATATTTGATGTTTAACCTTGATCATATGTAATTTCTAAAATGAAAATCTCTTCTGAGAATTTTGCTTTTAATAAAATAATCAAATATAATTTTTAAATATATTATTTTGTGTTTCAATTTTACATTGTATTTTCATTTAATTTAATAATTTCCTTTTCTTGTACTTTTTTGGTCTGTTGTCTGTTTTGTCTAATGCATGTCCAGGGTTCTAAGGTTAGTATTACTTTTGTAGTAATTTTCAGCTTTTCAGTTTCAAGTTTTATTTTTACTTATTTATGAAATTTTTGACTTGGTTATATTTTGAGTTTCCATATCATCTTTAACATTAGACATATATTTTGTATATTTAAAAGAGTCACTGAAAGGATTACTTTCCCAATGCATTGATATATTACTATTTTATTATGCACAATAATCTCTAGATTAAACTATCGTAATGAACACAATGGTGTTACAGTCATATGTACAATCAGATTTTAATTGGTTCTAAGGAAAGTAAATTAGATGAAATATATTATTTTAAGATTTAATAATTGTATGAGAGTGATCTTTATTTTTTAGCCCTATCTTTTGCTGCTTACATACTTCATTTTTTAAATTACTTTTATATAAAATGGAATACAAATTCTGTTTCAGACTATTGTGTCGAAAATGCCTTTTACTTTAAAATTTAATTTTTTCAGTCAAAAAAACACTTTGGTGGATTATATGGACACCTTAATAATTCTATTTATAATTCACTCATTTTGAAATGAAAGCATAGTTTGACAGGTCAAAACACTCAAAACCATTAAATAATGAATATAAAGAGATAGCTATCTTGCAATTTCAGTGATTCAAAATGATGAAGAATTTCTTTGAGAACACAGATCTGGATATTCTAAATTCTAATGTTTGAAAAATTATTTACAGTACTTGATAGACCTAAGAAATGGCCAAGTCTTCGTTCCTTTATAGAACATTTTAAATGGAAACAGATTTTAAATGAATTTTTTGCTTTTTCTTGTTAGCTATGATGTCATGGTCATAGATTTTAATTGATATTATGAAGTGATGCTGTATATTCATGAAGTGCTAAGAAGTAAAGAATCTGCATTTTAAAGTCTAAGTAATGAATTAATCATTTCTTTATGCCGTGTGTACTGAATTGGCATAATGTTGTAACAACTGAAAACACATTTCTGTCTCTTTCCAGGCTCATTTTAGAGAGAATGATTTTGACCCTATTTTGTTGTTAAATGGAAGGAGGAATGGTTGTTACATTTTATACATCATTTAAAACTGAGCTTAGTTATATAATGCTTGCAGTAGTCACCTATCATTTTTATTACCCACTTTGTACACAAGAAATGTTTTGAGTATTTTGAGGTTTTTTTTTCAGTGTTTTCTGCTCACATTTCCATGTTAATGCTCCTGCTTCTTCAAGGAGGGAGAAGTTTAGGTATAATGATGGCTATAAACAATGTCAAAATGAAACATTGAATAGGAGTAGATACCTATTACATATGCTAACCTTGTAGTTGAATTTATCATTCGGTTAAGAGGTAATGTTGATTGGAATGGCTAGTGTGCCCGTTTTCAGAAAATTTAAATAATTTTTTTTTGCTTATAAAGTATTCCCTTTCTTTGTTCCTTGAGGCACTGATAAAATGTGGCCTGGTCATAAGGAACAAAAATAATTAAAATGCTATATAGTCCACGGTGCAAAACAAAATAAGAAATGTTGACATTGTTTAAAAAACCATAATGTTGTGCATTTTAAGAAACACAATAGTTTGTAATATTCCCTCTGAAATCAGAAATGTAGTGAAAGTAGTTTCCAATCTAGAATGCTGTGATTCTTTTTATTACTAGTGTTTTATAAGTCACGAGTTAAATATCTGTAGACGGGTTAGTGATCTTGATTATTTTTACTCTGGAGTTTTATTGTACATGTAAAGTACCTAGTAGTTTCAGTGTACTCTAAAATGGATAAGAAATTGTTATGTACTCTAATGTGACAGCCATCTCATTTTGATACTAAGTTAAATTACCATATATTTTCCCTATTATTCATCATACATCTATTGGAAAGAAAAATTAAAGCATATATTTTTGTTAATGGGAATGAAGATTTTAGGAAAGAAATATCAATGTAAAATCTTTATAAATTACAAAACAAAACTAGTATAAGTACATATATGTGGTTCTCTCTAAATATCTTTGTGAAATGATCTTAAGTTTAGAATGTCATTTTTATAACTAAAGACATTTAAAGCTAATGTTGATTTTAAAATGGGCTTTTCCTTTATTCAAGGATAATTGATAGGTAAAGTAAACAAATTCGGTAACCAGCTCTGGTGATGTATGGAATTAGTTGATCTTTTATTTTATTAATAAAATGATAAATATATTAAATTTGTGTTCACCTGTAGTATGTATGTATATGTATTATATTTCCAAATTTCCAAATTTTAAACAAGACTTAAATCTTCTACTTTTCTAAAGACGGAATTGGAAAATATTGAAGTGACACAAGGCATGTCAGCCGAGACAGCAGTAACTTTCCTCAGCCGGCTGATGGCTATGGTTGATGTACTTGTGTTTGCAAGCTCTCTAAATTTTAGTGAGATTGAAGCTGAGAAAAACATGTCTTCTGGAGGTTTAATGCGACAGTGCCTAAGATTAGGTAAGTCTGTTAAAACAGTAATGCATGTCAAATAATTATCTACAGATCAGCTTTATAAAGCGCTATGGTACATAAAATATTGATGATCTAAGTTGATGATTTTATAATATAGAGATTATCTTGAGATATAGAGATTGTTTTTATAATTAATCAGAATTACTCAATTTTAAAAAATTATGCCTTCACGTTGGAGATTTCACAGAACTGATCATCTTTAATGGCTCATAATTTGAAATCAAGAGTGAAATATACTTGAAATTCTTTCAAAATCAATAAGACTATCAATTTGTCATTGAAGTGATTTTAATGCAAATCCATTTATGAATCCAATTTTGGTAAACTAATACTGAGGGTAGTGTCCTGGCCCCACAAACATGTCAGATACACATAATGCTAGAAGGTTAAAATAAACTATCCTAATCTTACTTGGGGTGAACAAATGTCCCTAATAAACATTGTTATACCCATGCTGTTCGCCTTTTATCTGTGAGGCAGTGAAACTTTAGCACTGAAACCTCTTAGTAAATCTGAATGAATTTTTTAGGTAAGAACCATTTCTACTTCTCTTAAAAGGAACATTTATTTACACTATTTAGACTTTCAAAACAACCAGAAAACTGCTCTTTTTGTACTTGCCTTAGATCATGAGCAGGACATAAGAACTGCAAGGCATGAAATAGGGAGGATGTTCCTGATACGTACTGTTTTCACCCATAACTTTTAAAGATTATGTCAAAAATTCATTTCTGATTCAAGAAAGGAGCAAAGATTTGATTTAAGAATGGTGGGATGAAACCTATTTTTTTAGTTTGTTTCATATTATTTATTTAAAGACAGGCAAGCTGAGAGGAATCATTTTGTATTCATTTTAAGAGAAAGATAGACCACATGAAGATCTTTCTGGCAACCAAGAGGTGTGGGGTAACTGACTGTGGGCCATTAAGGACATTTCCATTGACGTATAACAAGAGCTGCCAAATGAACTGTGTGAGAAAGAGATTATATTTTTAAAAAATGGCTCAATATCTTGAAACCTGCATTTATTTGGTTATTCTGCACTTTTATTTTTAAATATAGTCCAAGACTTTACTCCCTGTTTCTTTTTTATCCTAACACTACTAGCACATTTAGTTGTTTCATCAACCACAGAAAACTTTTATAAGTGAATAATAATAAAACACTTTTATATTACCTCCTATGCTATTTACTGTCGTAAGGACTTTCTGTATATTCAGTTAATCCTCACAGCAACCCTCTAAGGCAGTTACTTTGTTCATCCTCATTTTACATGTGCAAAAACTGAGGCACAGATAGTTTAAGCAGCTGGCCTAAAACCACACAGCTCCAAACCGGAAAATACAGGATTCAAACTCAGGTGGTCTGATTTCAAACTCTGTACTATTTGTCACAGTACTCTACTGCTTCTTAAAATAAATGAGTAAATAAAAATGTGTACGTATTGAATGCTTATTGTCAAAGCCCAGAGACTTTCCCAACATGAAGGAAGGTGGATTTGGGGACCTGTGATACTTGAGTATACAGAGGTACTCTATTATTGACTGAAATGGGAAGTTGTACTCAGTAGAGTCGACAAGATAGTCAAATTAAGGGCAGAAGCTTTATTAAATTTTTAAATCAAATATGAGCTTTAGTTTAAAAAAATTTTATTGATCCATAAATTCAGAACTGTGAAGCTCAGATGGTAATAGAATAAGGAAGGATACACTGGGGGTTTCGGAGCCTCTGGTAATGTTTAATTTCTTCAGCTGGCTGGTGGTATATGGGTATTTTGTTTTATTTTCAGCTGTATGTATATTTTGTAGGTACTTTCACTATTATATTTCATAATTTTAAAAATTATTGCTCTAGTTGATTTGAAGATTAATAATTTATGAAGCAAGGGGAAAGAAAGGGAAGAAGAAATAAACTTGCAACTTTTTGCAGGATATCAAAGTCAACAATTTATATTAACAATATGTTTTTGAATTTTTAAATAGTTTGTTGTGTTGCTGTGAGAAACTGTTTAGAATGTCGGCAAAGACAGAGAGACAGGGGAAATAAATCTTCCCATGGAAGCAGTAAACCTCAGGAAGTTCCCCAAAGTGTGACTGCCACAGCAGCTTCGAAGGTAAGTAAACTTTTTTTTTGGTCAAATATAATTGACCTGAAAAAAGTCTTTTTTAAGTTGATGAGAACAACGTGCCATGGTATTGCTCAGTGATAGAGAGCAAGGGCATTCTCATCAGGCAGCTCTAGGCTGCTTCACAATTCTGTTACCAAGATTACTTAACTTCTCTGAGATTTGTGTGTTTTGGTTATTAAATGAAGTTACTAACAATTCTACTTGATAAAGTTCTTACAAATATTATAATTAGCACTAAAAGTGGTTATTTCTATTTTTAATAGTCATATATTTTCACAGAGTTTAATGTATGAGTAATTCTCCTTTTAAATGGGTAGGCAAAATAGTCAACAAAAACTCATTGAATCCCCATACAATGAATGGAGTATTTTGAAATATACTATTAATTTTCTTTCTAAATCAGCTCTCTTTATCATATGCTTAACTGGCCCTTGGTGTCACATCCGGTTTCATTAACATGCTTTCTGAGGTTCTGTGCCTGGTCCTTGCTTACTTCTCCGGCAGCAGCTCTCAGCCCATCAAAAGAAGCGATTTCCCCTAACTTCTCAGACTTTTATATAATTTCCTTTCCATGAAGTATTCATCCTTATTTTTTATCCAGCTAAAATCTGTGCAACTACTGGGTTACATTAAATGCTACGTTTTCTCAGGAAAATGTTTTTTGACACCCTCACTACTACCCCAGTCAGTCTAGGGTCGTTTCTTCTGTTTGTTGTTTTCATAAAATTACATAGGTCTGTTATCACTCATTATACTTGTAATTACATGTTTAATGTTGATACAGTAACTTTTTGCTCAATAAGGGAAGGTACGAAATCGAAGTTTAATTCATCTTAAAGTTCTATTGCTTTAAACTTCTGCAGATGGCAAGCAAACTGACCGTATATTTATCCTATTAGTCGGTTATTTGCAGTATTGTAGCTTTTTTCCATTTCACTACTCTCAGAGAACATTTGTAATTTGACTATATATTATTTGCTGCTCACAGGACTCCATAGTGCTCTTATTTGCTTGGGAAATTAAATACAAATGGATCATCAAATGTATAGGCATAGTAGACAGGTACTTGAGGACAGTGTCTATGTGTTATAGATCCTTGTAACTTTAGAGTAATTTTTTTTTTTTTTGAGGCGGAGTCTCGCTCTGTTGCCAGGGTGGAGTGTAATGGCGCAATCTTGGCTCACTGCAACCTCCTGGGTTCAAGCAATTCTCCTGCCTCAGCCTCCCAAGTAGCTGGGACTACAGTAGGAAAGTTTCTTGCAAGTTTCTTGCATGAGTTCCATACCTTCATGCGACCTCATTTTTATACTGTGTGAAAAGGAACAATTATGCTAGCTTTTCCTATCATGTTGTCTTTATAAGGATCAAATTAGATTGGGGTAGAGAAATACATCATATAGAAAAGAAAATATTTCTAATTTTAAAGTCTGTGTTATTTATGCTGTAAATTATGTATTATTTTCTTTAACCACCCTGTAGTAAATATTATTAGTCTATTACATCAAATGATGTAGCTGAGGTTCAGAGAGGTTAACTTCTCACCAATGGTCATATAGCCAGAAGTTTTGGAATTGTAATGGAAACCAAATACTCTCAACCTTTAAATATTTTACTATCATGTGCTGCCAAGTAATCAAACATTTTAATTTTGGGGTAGAATATCATGATTGACATTCATTGAGAAATAGAAAGTACCCTGTTTATTTTTCATTGTTAGAGTAACAACAAGTACATACCTATTATGGGCTGGAATTGTATTTTGCATTATACATGTTATCTAATTTAATCTATACCGTTTTTAACACACTGTATAAGTGAGAAAGTACTTGATTGAGTTTCAGGGAACCTAGTTCACTTAGTAATCTGCTATGTGACTACATTACCTGAAATTTGTAGATGTTTGTTCCTTCAACTATAAAATGTTTTGTTGGTAACAATCTTTAATGTCTTTCAGCTTTGATGGGCCGTGACTGATTTTTTGTAATCTTACCTTTTCTAACCTTGGATAGACCATGAAATGGTTACACATATAAAATCTCATATAGTAATGTAGTATAATAATCTCATATATTATAAAAAGCGTGATGGATAAATGAACCCAGAGACTCAATGAGATTTGTTAACTAGAGGTAGAGAAAGTGAGGCTCAGGAAATCTTCTGAAGTCCAAGATGAATCTTTATTCTTCCACAACCTTACCTGCCTTTATGAGTCTATAGGGTAGCTGTGCCAGTGAAGAACAAGAATGCTAGTATGGAAACCATGACTTGAGTAGAGAACAGAAAATGTGCATTGTAATAGAGGATTATTATTAATAAATCTCAACTCAGAGAGGAGGAGATACATGATGTGGCCAGTTTAGCATGAACTAAGAAATGATACTTCTATATATTGTCTGTAATATATTATCTATTCACAATTCTTTTTATTTTTAAAGACTCCATTGGAAAATGTTCCAGGTAACCTTTCTCCTATTAAGGATCCTGATAGACTTCTTCAGGATGTTGATATCAATCGCCTTCGTGCTGTTGTCTTTCGGGATGTGGTAAGTTATCTGTGATTGCTTTCCCTGAAATAAACCTTCTACTGTCATTCTTATGAAATACGTTTTATAAGAAAGCTGCTTATGAAAATGACATTCCCTAGTATCTGGGATTGTTGGTTTATTGCATACTTCTCATTATAAAATGGTTCAACCTTAGCTTTCTCTGAAAACTTATTGATAATGTTAGTTTTAAAAAATGGCCTGAAATTTTGATGTAAGTTGCTTGCATACTAAGAATAGGACTAGCTCTGAAAAATTATAATTAATTTTATCTTGTAACATCTACTTCTTTGTTAGTATTCCTTGCTCCATTTCCAGGTACTAAAAATTTGTTATTAATGTTCCTTACATTATGAATGAAAGGGATTAATTCATTAGGTGTTACTGACAATTGCTTTTGGAGGAGGGGCAATTAAAGAATAGTCTGCATTTTAAAAATACAGGTATCTATGGGAATTGGAGTTAGAAAGATAGCTTAATAAAGCTAAAGGGAAAAGATAGGTTAAAGAGGTGTCATGGAACCCTCCAATCTTATGATCAGTTACTCCAGGTAAGTAAAAGTAAGACTGGCCTTTTCAGAAATTGCATAGAAACATATATGGTGTTTCACATCAGATTCAATGCTGACAGCATCTCTTAACATAGTTATTATAAACCAGCCACTTTGAATTCTGTTTTTCTTATTTTAGTTGATGATTCTTACTTAGTTGTTGATTCTATATGAAATGTAGAAGAAAGGTTATATTTGAAACTTATATTTAACGGTAAATTGAATGGCATGCTTTGTACTTTAGAAAATGATTAAAATATGTTTAGGTTATATAAAATAATGCTGTATGTTAGGAATGTACAATAGAAAAATCGTCACTCTGTTTAATATATATTATTTATAAAATGCTGGGAAAATTCCAAACATACCAACAGAAAAATAGGCAATGGATACAAGGCAACAAACATGATAAAAATTCAGTATCCCTAGTAGTCAACAGAATGCAGATTAACACAAGAGTGATATATTTTTCACTATTAAATAAACTAAAAAATTTTAAATGATCATACCTAGCATTGCCTGGGTGCAGCGAAACCTGCTCTGTCAAACTAGTGTTTGAGCTTTCAAGTAGCTCTTTGCCAGTATAGTTAAAACTCTTACAAATATTGATGTCCCAATGAACCACTAGAACCCAGTGGTTCTAGTCAGAATTTGTTTAACTTAATGTTTTCATCAGAGATGTCTACAGGAAATTTGGCAACATTATAAATATCCAATAATAGAATTTTGGCCTAAAAAATCTTGACCTAGTCGTTCGGCAGTGACCTATTCAGCCTTTAAGCACATATTTCTGAAGGAAATTTAATGACAAGGGAAAATGATCATGATATATTTTAAGAGAAAGCAACAGCATGTAAAAATACTTATATTACACAAGTATTACATATGTATACTGATTGTATGTACGTACGTATGTGCATCTTTATTTTTAAAAAAAGACTGAAAAAATATACCAGTATTCCACCAATGATAATCTCTAGGTAAACAGATTTTATTTTTTTCTTTATCCTTTAATGATTTTTTGTAGTTTTAAATTTTCTATAATAAACCTATATTGTGTTTATAATTAATAAAAAAGAAGGTATTTTTTTAAAAGGGAGACTACAGTAAAGTATAAAAACCACAATGTAAGAACTCACTGTAATCTAAACTGTAATCTAAGCTTGGAAAGAAGATACCATTCTTACTGACAGTTTAACCATTTAGAAATGGGAATAATCATCATGAAAAAAATGTGCTGTGGAAAGGATTTTTTTTTTTTGTAATGAGTGAATGATTAAAAACATGGAGCACATCTTCACCTCCAAAGGCACAGTCAGATGTAACATATAACATACTGAAGGAGTTTCTATTAAGGGTGACATTGTATTTAACTTGTTAGTAAATTTTGAATTAGGTTATATGGTAGATGATGATCATTTCTCTTAAATTCATGGATATTTTATAAATATTTTGGATAACCCAGCAGTCATTATATCTGTGAAATATGGTGATGAAAAGGGAATTCTTTGGAAAGATCTGGGTTGGAATTCTGACTCTACCTTATACCAGTTGTGTGGTCTCAGTGTTTCTGAGTCTTAACTTTTTCTTAACCCTTAACTGGAAGCTTAGGATAATATGGATTTAGTGCTTAATACATAACATAAACCCAATTAACACAAATTATATTACCTTGATGTTGTTGGGAAGGTACACCATGGCAACACTTAAAGCAGATAGGAGAAACGTTATACAGCTCATGTCTTCTCAGTAATAAAATACCTGAGCAAGTCAATTAATTTGTGTAAAAATGTAGTCATTCCCCAGATGTTTAGCCTCTATCTATATTGACAGAACTGGAAATAAGAAGCACAATTGACTAGGATGTCTGTATTAAAAAAAAAAAAAAAGCTAACTCTTTTCATGCCATATATAAAGGAGGTTTTCGTCTAGCTATGACAGCAGTTTAGTGTCTGTTATTTACAGCTCTGCCACTCTGTAGTTGGCATTCATTCATTCATTCATTCCACACATATTTGTTGAATGCCTTCTGATTGCCTGGTACTGAGTTTCTAGTGTTAGAAATAGAAGTATTGTGGGATATTATGGTCTGTCACAGCTTGAGCAATGTGTGAATCAGTTCTTGGTCAGTATCTTTTCTTAATCTGATTGTGCTTCATTTTCCTTTGTAATAACTGCTTAGGTATTTGATTTCTTCACTTCTCTCTGTGTTTATCCTATCAGCTTTTAATGCAAAGAATATGCATTTTAAACAGTTTGTAAGACAAAGTATCTGTAGAAAAACTGTAACCCACAATGTATGAAATAGTAAATTGAGAATAATTCGGAACAGATTTTATGTATTTTGGTCATTTTCCCCATTAGCCAGACTGTTTCACACTATTAAATCATCAGTAAATATGTCTTATTTGCTTTTTGCTTACAAATGCACATAAATTATGAATTTTGTTTGCATTGTGCTTAGATGAAGTAATAAATATAAAGTGCCTGTTAATCAAGTTACTAGAATTTATTGCTTATTTGTTTTCCTTATTTCTTATTCTGCCTATTATCTGTAGGCCCAGTAACTGCTTTCAGTTTTGGTTTGAAAGTATCAGTTTTACCTAGCTTATAAAAGAAGCTTAATAAAGGTTCACATTTTATTCCTTAGATATACTCTAGTGTATTAGAGGTCACATAATTTAGACTTGATACTTATCATTATTTCCCTGAAAGAAGTTTATCTAGGCTTTTTGAATAGAGCTCTCAAGGTTACATGCAGCTTGTTATATTTTTGGAAGCATACTTATTTTAAAGTTATCTCTCTTACCACATCACAGCCAGTGTTTTAACTGTCTTCGCTTTCTGAGTTAGACAGTTTTTTTCAGACCTTTTACCATTTGCTGTTCTCCTCTGGAAAAACTCCATTTTATCTTTGAGTTTGGAAATGAGGAGCCTGAAATATAGGCAGTGTTTTAGAGGTCATTTTTGCTGTGTAGAATAGTGGACTGTTATTTCTTTTTAAAAAATGTTTTATTTCCATAGGTTTTTGGGGAACAGTAGTATTTGAATACATAAGTTCTTTAGTGGCAATTTATGAGATTTTGATGTACCCGTCACCTGAGCAATATATACTGAACCCAATTTGTAGTCTTTTTTTCCCTTACCCACTTCCCACCCTTTTCCCTCCTAGTCCCCAGACTCCATTGTATCATTTTTATGCCTTTGTATCATAGCTTAGCTTCCACTTATGAGTGAGAACATATGATGGTTTTCCATTCCAGAGTTACTTACTTCACTTAGAATAATAGTCTCCAATCCCATCCAGGTTGCTGTGAATGCCATTATTTCATTACTTTTTATGGCTGAGTAGTATGACGTAGTGTATATATACCACAGTTTCTTTATCCATTCATTGATGGGCATTTGGGCTGGTTCCACATTTTTGCGATTGAAAATTGTGCTGCTATAAACATGCATGTGCAAATATCTTTTTCGTATAATGACTTCTTTTCCTCTGGGTAAATACCCAGTAGTGGGATTCCGGGATCAAATGATAATTCTTTTAGTTCTTTAGGAAATCTCCACACTGTTTTCCACAGTGGTTGTACTAGTTTACATTCCCACCAGCAGTGTAGAAGTGTTTCCTTTTCACGGCATCTGTGCTAATATCTAATTTTTTTTTTTAATGGCCATTCTTGTGAGAGTAAGGTGGTATTACACTGTGGTTTTGATTTGCATTTCCCCGATAATTAGTGATGTTGAGCATTTTTTCATATATTTGTTGGCCATTTGTATGTCTTCTTTTGAGGATTGTCTATTTATGTCTTTAGCCCACTTTTAGATGAGTTTTTTTTTTTTTTTTTCCTACTTTGTTTGAGTTCCTTGTAGATTGTGGCTATTAGTCCTTTGTTGGATGTATAGATTGTGAAGAATTTCTCCCTCTCTGTGAGTTGTCTGTTTATTCTGCTGACTGATCCTTTTGCTGTGCAGAAGCTCTTTAGTTTAATCCTGCCTGTTTATCTTTGTTTTTATTGCATTTGCTTTTGGGTTATTGGTCATGAAATCTTTGCCTAAGCCAATGTCTAGAAGGATTTGTGAAATGTTACCTGTTGATATGATTGAAGATTGAATTAACTTTTTCTCATGCTGCCATAATCACACTTCTGGCTCATATTGAGCTTATGTAAATTCATGTTTAATGCTCCCCCATTGTTTATTTCTCCTCTATTTCATGTTCATATAGTCTCTTGCTCCAGTTATGCTAGGATTTTATATGTATTTCAGTTGTAGTTTTATCCTATTAATTTTATTCAGTTATAATATATAAAACTCTTGATTTTTAAAAAATTCGGGACATTAAATTATTCTTTTCAACTTTGTGCCATCTATGTATTTTATAAGCACACATACTATATCGTTATGTAAGTAGTAGATAATAATGGACAAAAAGGACAAATAATAAAATTTTAATATTCTAGTTTTTGGAAATTACTTTCCAACCTATAGATGATATATTTTGGGAGTTTTATATTTGTAGTTAAATAATACTTATTAAATAAAAATATATATTTAGCAGGTTTTCATAAAAGTTACATATCATATTTTGCCTCCGTAAACATAATGAAATAGCAGTTTCTAGTACTTTAAGAACTTATACTTCAAAAAGTTAGAGTGTTAAAACTGTCTTTTCATTTTTCATAGGATGATAGCAAACAGGCACAGTTCTTAGCTCTGGCTGTTGTTTACTTCATTTCGGTTCTGATGGTTTCCAAGTATCGTGACATACTAGAACCCCAGAGAGAGACTACAAGAACTGGAAGCCAACCAGGTAGAAACATCAGACAAGAAATAAATTCACCAACAAGTACAGGTACTTGACATTGTATAATTATTTGAATTTTCACCATGATGTATCTCCTTTTTTTTTCACCTTTACATCTGGATTGGAACTGGACCTCTTCATAATCACCTCAAATATTTATGAATGGTTGGTATAGAAATGCTAATTTAGTATTCCTTAATTCCACAAAAATGTATGAATGGTATTTCTATATAGTTGCGACGTTCTCATCTTATCAGTACAGCTTTGGTTTCAGTGTTTCTCATTTATTAATATAAATCATTAATTTATACCATTATTTAATATACAAGTAACTCCTACATTTTTAAATGTATTACTTTTTTAACCTTTATGAACATGGAAGTAGAAAGTCATTATAGAGTTATTAATGCCAAAGATAAGTCAAAATACACATCTTTATAGCCAAGCTCAGAAGTTAGATTTTTTTCTTTTTTAACTGTATATAGTTAATTCAGTATCTAAATATTCTGTCAGTGATTTATAATCAAACATGTGTTCTAAATGTTATACCAAAGTGGCCTCAACTAACATCAAAGACTTGTGGAAAGTTAACATGGACAACAATGAACCACCTTGGGTCATGCTGCCTTTTTCATTTGCAGAAAATGCTCATTTTGCATCTGTTCTTGCATTACTAGCTTTGCCCACTCTACTTGAACAGCGTAAACACAGTTTCTGGCAACTAACATTTTAATATTGGACACCTATCATTGTCATTTCCTTCCAGGTGTTTATATCAAGGTTGTTTCTCTATTGTTTGCAGTGAGACCTTGATAACCTAATGGTTATTTCATATACCACTGGATTAATTTGTAGTTGAAATTTTCTTTCCTAAATAAATGCATATGATTTATAAATAAAATGGATATTTTAAAAAGTGAGTAGAAATTAGTGGTCAAATCTCTGCATCTTGTTTTTCATAAGCATATCATATTTCATATACCTTTTATTGATGTCATATAGATATGGATTATGTTTTAGCTACAATATTTTGCTGTTGCATGATACATGTACTTTTAACACCTAAACATGAGAATTTTTCATTATAATATACTTTCACTTTTAATTTTATTCTTCAGATTAAACATCATCCTACCATTCCAGTTCATGTTTTTTCACCATTTAAAACACAGACTTATCATCTTAATTCTTTTCATTTTTAATGCTTTTATATCCATTATATGTACAAAAAGTAATAGTGTAGTGAACCTTCTAGTTCTGATTTTCTTGTGTATTTGTATGTCTCTGTGTATGTTGCTAGAATTACTCTGCTTAACAAGTGTATTTTCTTTCTCTTAATACTTAACCTCTTTTCTTCAGAAATGCATTTGTTATTGCTAGTATTGTTTGCATGTTGCAGTAATATAGAATTGTCATGGATCTTCAGTGGACCATGTTGCAGGTTGTTACATGCTGGCTCAAATTTGATTCCATGATTTTCTCCACAGTTGTGGTCATACCATCTATCCCTCATCCAAGTTTGAACCATGGATTCCTTGCCAAGTTAATTCCTGAGCAGAGCTTTGGCCACTCATTTTACAAAGGTAATATTGACCTCATCTCCTGACCTGTTTGGGTATTATTTCATGAATTGTTATAAAATAAATATTCATGATATAATTGTTTATAAACAAGTATATACCTCAGGTTTCATGGAGATATGAAACATTGTATTTATACCTAGCTATTGAGAGCCTTTATATTTGTATTTTATTACATTTCTTTAAGTATCATCTATAAATTAAGGATACCTAATTATATGTGTATTAATATGCATAATGGTAGCACTCAGGAGAGATCTCAGGAGAGTCACAATTTAGTAGTCCTGGGACTAAATGAGCCTAATATAAAGGCTACTCTAGAATAAAGCTTAAAAGCATGCCTCAAAAGCATCAAACTCATCTGTAAGTTATTTAACTTCCAGTTAGAACAAAGCCCCAACACTGTTTAAAGGAATGCGAAAGTCCTTACCAAAAACCGTAAAATGAAATGTTAGACATCCAACAAAAATTGTTAAACATGCAAAGAAGGAGGAAAATGTGATGCATAAGCAAAAGAAAAATATCAGTGAATAGAAACAGATTTTGAGACAACAGAAATGGCGGAATTATCAGATAAGGACATTATAGAAGCCATTATATGTATATTCAAGATATTTTTCAATTTAATGGAAAAAAGTTAACATATTGAGGAGAGAAATGGAAGATATAAAGAAAAAAATGACAATTTTAGAGATGAAAAATACAATAGCCAAAATGATAATATCTTTGGGTAGGAGTAACACGAGATTTCTGACTTCAGAACAAACGATTGTAATAGGTAGAACTCTGTGATAGCTCCAAGGTTTTCCTGTGTACACACTCTGCAAAATTCCTGGGATAGTAAATATGATGGTGTTTACCCCTGTGATTAGGTTATGCTGAATGGCACATTAGCCTTTAAGAAATGGTGATTATCCAGGTGGGCTTGACCTAATCGCATGAGCTCTGTAAAAGAAGAGGGTTTCCTTCTCTGGTCACAGAACAGGAAGTCCAAGAGACTTGAAATGTGAGAGAGATTTGACATGAAGGAGGATCTTTATTGCTTAGATGGAGGAGCAAGGATCTGAGGAAACCATATAGCTAATAGCACTCACCAGCTGACAGCCAGCAAGAAAGTGGGGACTTTAGTCCTACAGCAGGAAGGAACTGAATTCTGCCAATAATTAAATGAGTTTTGAAGAGGACGCTGAGCTCCAGGTGATACGATACTTCAACGTGTTCCATAACTAGCTAATCATTTGGAACAGCAATTTTTGGAACAAATAAAGCTAGCAAAATATTTTTGTTACAACTTAATGAATGTACAGATACTATTTTTTACAAATGTGCAACCTTTCAACAGCATGATGAAATGAAAAATATTGTTCTCAACTTCACTGCTGACTGACAAACACATCTAGCTCTAAACTGTGCAAACCGAAAAAAAGGATGAGATTGTCAGCAGACATCTTCTGGAGTTTGTCTGGTGGAGTGTGTTCTAAAGGCTCTGCTGTGGAAAGTATCCTGGTGTATCTGCCCAGATTAAGGAGCCTGTATCAGAATATTAATGCATGTTGTCGAGAAAGTCTTGCTATGAAAATAGTTTCAGTTACACTGAACAGTGGTGTTAGTAGCATAATAAAATTTTGAATTACTTTAAGGCCAATGTGGTAAATTTGCTATTATTCTTTGTATTATGTGATATTATGGCAGATTATCATAACTTATTGCATGCTGTAGTGCAGTGGTTATTGGGGGAAAGTGTCTGTCAAATATTTTTCATGAACTCAATGCTTCCAAACAGGGAAAGATATTTTTTCATGGTAGGTATGATCAAAGAACACAAAAGTTAAAATCTTAGAGGTACACAATTTATATGACATGTTTCACAATTTAATAATAATTATCGACCCAGCTTGGTGGCGCATGCCTATAATCCCAGCATTTTGGGAGGCCGAGGAGAGGGGACAGCTTGAGACCAGGAGTTTGAGACCAGCCTGGTGCGCAGTGTAGTGAGACACCGTCTATACGAAAAATTAAAAAATTAACCAGGCATGGTGGCATGTGCCTGTAGTCCCAGCTACTCAGGAGGATGAGGTGGGAAGATTGCTTAAGCCCAGGAAGTTTAGATTGCTGTGAGCTGTGATTGTGCCTACTACACTCCAGCCTGAGCAACAGAGCAAGACCCTTTTTCAAAGAAAAAAATTTATTAAGTGTTCTGGTCTTTAGGAATGATCAGATTTTGTTCATCTTTCAAATTATCACCTGTCATTTTATGGATTGGGCAGACTATTTTATATTTTATTTTCCAGCAATAGAAGATTCACAGATAGCAAATTCATGGATCTGGAATCCATTTCTGTCACTGAAATATAACTTACATCTTGTTATAACTATACAAGATGTAGAAGAGTTTTCATTCCATCAGCATACCTGTGTGACATTACTTTCTCCTCTTTGAGTGTTACTGAAATAAAACAAAAACAATTTAGGTATTTATTATTCCCCTGAGATGCTTTATTGCCAGTTCACCTTAGATTAGATAAATTAACAAGCAAAAAAGCTCATTGTCAACATCACAAACTTTGTTTATAATTGCAGTGTTTGTTCAAAATATTCATATAGGCATTTGGGAGGTGAGGATCACTCTCTACCTAAAACTTTTTGTTTAGTTATGATGTGTAATGAAGAAAAGTTGCAAGTGTAATAGTAGTTGTCTAAATTAATCCCCAGTTCACTTTTGGTGAACAACACAGGCCATTTTTATAATTGTGTTCTTTTTCTTTGTGCTATTTTTGTCTGATTATATTTATTGATGTGTAATTTTATGTCTGCCTAATCAAATAACAAAAACAGTTGTGCTTTTATTTTGTGTAGTTTTAAAATTTTTTATTTTTTTAGTAATTTACTACAATTAGTAGATAAAATTTTATATTTTATTTTCTAAATGTGTCAGCGAATGATGGATTGAGGAGATAAATGTAAATTTTCACAAATAGTTTGAGAAACCCTTTTCTGGACTACTCTTCAGCTCCTCCACATCCCACTCCCTTCTTTCAGCTTCTTTTTGAATTAGCTCTCTGATCTCTTTTTTTAAATTTTGATGTAATACCTTAGTTCAGACTCAAATTCCTTCTTGAAGTATTGCCATAGTTTCTTCATTGGACTTTTTGTTTCTAGGCTTTCTCTCAGTTTATTACTGACAATTTTGGAAATAACACTAATATATAATACAATATAGTAACAGAGTAAGTATAATCTATATACCATTTTAATATAATAAATATTTTATAATATATAATAACTTTAATAAAGTAATTTTTCTTTCTAAAATTCTCAAAAGGCTCCCTGTAATTTTTGGAACTAAATTAAAATGCCTTAACGTAGCAAAACTATTCTAATTCTGACTTGCCTCAATTACAATACTCACCTCCAAAGTGAATTCCTTACTTCTCTTACTGATCGTTATTCTTTTATTTTTAGTTTTACTGCCAATTTCATTGTTTTAAAAGATAAAGCAGATTATGTCCTTTCGTGACATAAAATTTGTAGTAGTATTTAGACTAACATTTCACAAGGACCCTAGATAAGATGACTATTGACTATGTTTCCAACTTTATCTCATGTTATTCTTTCTTTTGCTCACTATGAAACAGTCAGACTACCTTCTAGTTTTTTAATCATGCCAAGCATTTTCATGCCTCAGGATGTTTGTATTTTGTCACTGGCTTTTGGCTCTTTTCCCAGTTTTCTGTGTGACTGGTGCCTACTCATTCTTCAATTCACCTCCTCCGAGAGGCTTTCCCTGACTCCTGTAACTAAGTAGCTTCCTTTCCATTATTATTCTTTCTCATATCATCTTGTTTTATTTCCTTTCTTCTATTCAATGCTTTCTTTAATTGTTTATTAGAATGTATGCTTCAAGAAGGTAATCATAACTAACTTTTTTTAGTTTATGTGTTTATGGTGTACAATGTGATATACTGATATTTGTGTACATTAGGGAATGATTAAGTCAAGCTAATTAATGTCTTCTTCACCTCACGTATCTTTTTTTTTGTGGTAAGAATGTTTAAAGTTTATTCACAGCAGTTTTCAACTACTGACACGTTATTAACTGTAGTCACCATGTTGTAAAACAGATCACCAGCACTTATTCCGTCTCTGTAACTGAAACATTGGTCCTTTTGGTGAACATCTTTCCAGTCCCTAGTAACCAGCATTCTACTCTTTACTTCTGTGAGTTCAACTTTTTAAGATTCCCTATACAAGTAAGATTATACCCATATTTGTCTTTTTATGTCTGACTTAATGTAATGCAGTGTTCTCTAGATTCATCCATGTCATAAATGACTGGAGTTTCTTTTTTTATGGCTGAATAGTATTCCATGGTGTATATACATTTTATTTGTTCATTCATCTGTTCATCAATAGACAATTGATTCCATATCTTGGCTATTGTGAATAATGCTGCAATGAACATTGGGGTACACATACTTCTTTCAAATACTGATTTCATATCACTTGGATATATACCCTGAAGTGGAATTGTTGAATTGTACGGTAGTTCTATTTTTAATTGTTTGAAGAATCTCAATACCATTTTCCATGATAGCTATACTAATTTTCATTTCCATCAATAGTATACAAGGGTTCCCTTTTCTTCACATCTTCTCCAACACTTATATTTTACATTTTGTTTTGTTTGTTTGTTTGTTTTTTGAGATGGAGTCTCACTCTTTTACCCTGGCTTCAGTGCAGTGGTGCGATCCTGGCTCACTGCAACCTGCACCTCCTGGGTTCAAGTGATTCTACCGCCTCAGCCTCCTGAGTAGCTTGGATTACAGGCGTGCAACACCACGCCCGGCTAATTTTTGTATTTTTAGTAGAAACAAGGTTTCACCATCTTGGCCAGGCTGGCTCGAACTCCCCACCCCAAATGATCCACCTGCCTATGCCTCCCAAAGTGCTGTGATTGCTGATGTGAGCCACTGCGCCTGGCCACATTTTCAATAATAGCCATC